GTTTAGCAGTCAGCTTAATTTACATAAATATTGTGGAAAAGTTTTGAGCCACCACTGATTTCTTTATATGCCGCTTTCGAGGAACCAAACCTTTTTCGTAATTTTTAAATGTGGTCTTGATCAGTAGTTCTGTAGGCTTTCTGAAGCTCTTTCTTTGGACATCGGCCGCTTCTACCTGACCATTTTCAGAGGAATGTGTTGTTGTTGTTTTTTTCTAATGTTGTTAAGCCATTTAACACTGACTCATGGATCACTTCAGTATAAAAAAGGCACCTAACTCAATGAATGGACCAGTGTGAGAACTAAAGGAGAAGTGCCAGGCCAAAAATACAAAAAGCTATCTACAGCAGATGCAGCATCTGAAAGTCATTGTCTGTGGAAAAAGGAACAAATCCTGAGCCGATTTATGTTTTGGGCACGTCAGGTGATCCATCTACTATTCGCTGAAGCCTCATCAGAAATGTTCTCATTGGAAGGCTGAGATCTGTTAAGATGCCATTTTTAATTCTTGCCAAATTACTCAAGAGCTGTACTGAATATCAGTGGCAACAAGTCTTATGGAATGAATCCAAACTTGAAATTTTGGGTTCAAATTGTTGCCAGTATGTATGAGGAAGGTCAGGAGAGAGGCACACTAGAGAGCTGAGGAAAACGATGGAGTTGCTGTTATGGTTTGGACATTCATTTAGGACAGTGGTGTTGATGATCTTGTCAAAACCAATGAACACAGAAAAGTGACATCAGATTTTGACCCACTATGTAATATCATCTGGAAAGCATCTGGTTTGTTAATGCTTCATTTTTCAGCATGACAATGATCACAAACACACTTCCGCCACAGTCAGAGCTTACCTGGACAGGAAAACACACAATGCAACACTATCAGTCATGCAGACTCAACGTTATTGAAGCAGTCTGGGATCATCTTGACAGAGAACAGAACAAAGAAGGTCTTTCAAGAAGCATGAAGCGCTATTCCTGAAGACTACTTACAGAAAACGCAAGAAAGCAGCCTAAGACAGTTCAGGCTGTGTTGAAGAGTAAAGGTAGTCATACCAAATATTAGCATTCAAGCTTTGTTAAGCTCTGTTTTTGCCTTATATAGTGTATTAACATGCATTTTTGCATTTGTTTCAATAACTGTTTTCCCAACAAAATACTAAGAAATAATGGGCACCTCAAGACCTTTGCACAGTAATGTGGCTCCATGGTGGCCAAATATTAAATGTGTTTTTCAGCACTGCACTGAAATCAATGCCCGTTTTTAACTCGACCAATAGCTGTTGCATAAATAAAGAAATTAACTTTTCAAAAGTGTTTTAGTGTTTCATTGCACAACAGAGAAACATTTCTCTCTGACATCAGTGTTGACAGGGTGATATCAAAGTTCAACTGCTATACTGTACAGCACAGCTGGTGATTAGTGATCACCTATGGCATTTTTTGTACCCCTGCGTTAACAAACAATGGCTTTTCTGTGCATTTTGTGTGAACTCAGTTTGATGCCATGATTACAGGGGAGTCATTGCACAGAACAAATGCAGAGGTTGAGCAAGTAAGAGGCTGAGACAAAGAGCAAACAAAGTCAAAGTTCGGCCTGATCGTCCTCATAAATAGAAGGTCTCCCTCTGTCCAGCTTCACTCTCTGTGGCTGATAATACATACAGTGAGCTCCAACCAGAAGAAGGTAAGCGATATGTTTTTTTAATAGCATGTTTAACTGTCCCGCCATCAGATGCACGGTTATCTTTAATATGTAACATCTGTAGACTGTAAGTTGTAACTTTGATTTTAAGCTCTTCTTAATGACGCTGAATATTTGCAGCTAATTATCATGACGTCTATAAACAGATTTAACCAGCCCATACACAAAACAGCCAATTTGGATTTTAATGTACGTAAGTAAATTCTGATAGGCAACATTAGGGATTAAATCTGGCCCCTCTGCTTCAAATGAGTGAGGAGATAAAGAAACACAGAAATTTGTTGGGAATTTAGCAAAAACTGTTGCAGCATAGCGTGTTGGTCAGAAACTCAGTTCACAGTACGAAAGAGCAAAACTGACTGTTTTCAGGAGCAAATATTGCATAACCCACATGAACAAACAATCGATTGTGAACTTTTGTCTCAGTTGACCATGATGCATGCAGCCTTGGCTATCTGGATCTTATCAGCAGTGTTCTGCATGGGTAGAGGCCATCACCATTTGGGCCATGCCAATCAAGACCAAGAAACTGACAGCAGCCTCTCACAGGTGTCCACAGCAAACAAAGAGTTTGCCTTTCGTCTGTACAGAAAGTTAGCAGCTCATCCCGACTTTCAAGGCAAAAACATCTTCTTCTCACCAGTCAGTATTTCTACTGCCTTGGCTGCCTTGTCCGTAGGAGCTCGGGGGGAGACCCACCAGCAGCTTTTCAGTGGTCTAGGTTTCAACAGTTCCCAGCTCATGCAAGCAGATGTAGATCAGTCCTTCCGTACGCTCCTGCAAAACGCAAAGAGTGGTGACACCAGTGAGGGGACTGCCGTGTTCGTGGACAACCGCTTTAAGCCGCAACCCGAGTTCCTGGAGGTGTTGAAGCAGTCCTATTTTGCCGAAGGGTTTAATGTTGACTTCACCCAAGCCACAGAGAGTGTCAATACCATCAACAATTATGTGGAGACCAAGACCAATGGGAAGATTGACAAGCTGGTTGAGAGCCTGGATGTAAACACAGTCATGTATCTCATCAGCTACATATACTTTAAAGGTAAGAGGTCAACTGAGATGAGATTTGGCTGGTCTCTCTTTTATTCCAAGGTTTAAGTTTGATGTGTCATCTGTAACGTGTGATTTATTTCTGCTTATAACCGCAAAAAAGGAAAGTGGGAGACTCCGTTCGATCCTCAGGACACCACAGACGACCATTTCCATGCGGAGAACGTTCAGGTTCAAGCAGCTGATTCAGAACGGAGATGAGTTGGAATAATTATGCATCACTGCGCCTAATTCAACCTGTTTTCCAATAAACTGTCACATTTCCAGGTTCCAGTCCAGATGATGAATATGGAAGAGGATGTTGATATTTATGATGACAAGCTCATTAACACAACAGTCCTCCACCTCCCCTTCAACGGCACCCACTCCATGCTGCTGATGTTGCCTGATAATATGGCAACGCTGGAGAACGCCATTAGCCCGGGCCATGTCAACAAATGGCTGAAATGGAAGAAGCAGAGGTTGGGTAGAATTTCAAATCATGCTTAATTTCTTGGTTTAGACACGTTCATCATATTTACATATACTTAAAATTTTTAAGATTAAACAAAGAAAGCTGGAGTAAAAATGAAATGCAGTTTCTAAATGATGATTTCATTTATTAAGTGGAAAAAACTACCGATTCCCACCCATCCCTATGTGAAAACATAATTCCCCTCTAAACCTAATAACTGCTTGGGCCACCCTTGGCAGCACAAGGTGCAGTCAGGTGTTTGCAGGGATTCTGGCCCACTCTCAAACACATTGGATGGTTTTTTTTTAAACATGAAATCCTTACTTCAACTTGACCACTCCAAAACCTTTATGTTGTTTTGTTTTTTTGGAGCCAATCAGAGGTGGATTTGAGTTCGTGTGTTTCAGATGATCGTCTGCTGCATAACTCTTCAGGGTGCAAAACATTGTCCCCCAGACTTTTCTGGTAGAGAGCAGAACTCATGGTTCGACCAATTACAGGAAGTCTCCCAGATGCTGAAACAGGAGAGCAGCTTCAGACCATCACACTGCCACCACCATGTTTCATTGTTGCTATGATATTCTTTTCATGGACACGGTCTTAGTTTTACGCCAGACGTAACAGGACTCAAACCTTCCAAAAACTTCAGCTTTGTCATGTCAGTCCACGTACTGAAATACTTGGGGATCATCAAGATTTATTTACTTTTTGGAAAAACTTTGTAACTATTTCCAGACTGATAGGTGTCACTGATTTAGTTTTCCAGCAGTTTCTTTAGATGATGTATTGCTTTTTGAGATCTTTTAGCTTCACTTTGTCAGACTGTTTTTATTTTAGTGATTTCTTGATTCAACAGGTCTGGCAGTAATCGGGCCTGGCTGTGGCTTATGAAATTGTGTTTAATCGTGTGGTTAATCACAGTAAATTCATGTTTTAACAAGGAGGGGCAGTTTATGACACAGGGGCAGGCAGGTTTGGGTAGCTTTTTTTCTGTTAATAAAAGAAATTATCCTTTAATAACTGCATTTTGCATTCACTCAGGTTATCTTTGTTTGATGTTAAAATTTGTTTGATAATCTGAAACAGAAGTGTGACAAACATGCAAAAACTAAGAATTCAAGAAGAGTAAAAATATTTTGTCATACCCTGAATATGCTTGCCGGATGAATATCAATACTATTGATTCCTTTCACAATTTTTAGGAGATACAACATATATGTGCCAAAGTTCTCCATCAAGACTTCCTACAAACTGAGCAAAGTGCTGACTGAAATGGGAATGGCAGACATGTTTCGTGATAGTGCAAATCTGACCGGTATTTCAGAGGCGCATAAACTGGCAGTCTCAGAGGTAAGGACAGTGTTATTAAACACACATTTCTCCCTTTTATTCAATCCTCTCACACGTTTCTCACTCCACTGCGCTGTAGGTGGTACACCAAGCCACCCTGGACGTTGATGAGGCTGGAGCCACAGCAGCAGCTGCTACAGGCATTGGTATCATGCTCTTCTCCTTCCGGATTGTCCCGGTCTTGAAGTTTAACCGCCCATTTATGGTCATCATCACTGAGCGTAACACAGAAAACATTGTTTTCATGGGAAAGATTATTAACCCAAACATCTGATGGAGGAAATGCTTTGTGTTCTTCCACGGTTGTTGCAGTAAACATAAAATGCTCAGAAAAACAAAAACAAAAAACACTCACTTGTCATGTCTCTTCTTTTATGACTGCATGGTTTTAGTATTGTTCTATCTGTTTTTGACAAGTAGAAGATAAAATACAAACAACAGGATTCCCAGCATCAGCTTTTCTCAGGGGTAAACAATAATATAGCATGTTTTCAATCATCTTTATTAATAATGATGCGTTATTGTGTAACATGCATAGATGTTGCACTAACACACTTGGAAACATCTGGGCCAGGCACATGGAAAACCAAAAAAGGCGTGAGATAAAGATGCATACATCTTAAACTATCAAGTCATGCACTATTGCACTTTATGTCAAAAAAGACTGAAAAGACTAAATAGTCATTTCAGTATTTCACATTTAATTTGACTGTGAGTACAAATAGCGTTTATTACATGTTATTACATTAAATACATTTTATTTATTCTCTTGAAAGGTTCATGCCAGCAGGGATTAGGCTCTTACCAACAGAGTAAGTTTTCTGAGTTGAGTTCAGAATGCTTTTACTGAGCTGAGTTGCATTATTGTCTGTATTTATTTTATATTTGTATAATATTGTATTTATTTATTGTATTTATTTAAAATAAATTGTTAATTTATAGATTTTTTTTAAAGACAAAGTGTAGTTTAGTCACCTGACGCTACGTGGCAGCACTGCGCCTCGTAGAGTCTGCTGCGCTGAAAACCAATCAGAAGAAGAAGAAGTTTGCCTCGCTTTGATTGGATGTGAAGGGTTTTTTTTTTTTTTTCAAGATATGGCTGAAACAACAGGACAAGAAGGAGCTAAAGGTGGACCACATTATATAAAAGAAAGAATAAAATACAGCCCGGAGGAGGAGGCCAGGCTGGAAAGGAAACATTTCTGGAGAATAATTGATGCTTTTAGATATTACAGGTATGAAAAGGTTTTTTGAAATAAAGACAGGCCGCGGGTGTTTTGTGTCAATACATGGCAGTGTTAGCAAATAATAGCATAGAGAAGAACACCAAGTCTAAAGAGAAAAAAAAAAGGCTTACTGATGTGTTTAAACTGTATTTAAACGTTAAATTGCGACACCTACTTTTGAACCAACTCTGCTCGCTGCATTTGACCTCTTTTGATCAGCCCTTTCTGCCTTTCACACTGCTCACAACACACTTAAATACAGTGAAAGAGAAAAAAAGTGAACCTTGTGCACAGTATGGTTATGGTGATCAGTGTAGCTGGTGAAGCCTGAGTCTCAGCTCTGTGTCTTCCTGCCAGGATCCATGTTCAGGAGCAGGTCAAACGCGCGGAGCGTCAGTTTCAGAGTCTTCCGCAGCACCACCAGAATCTGCTGCCACACGTTTTGTCCAACCTGGCCCGGATCGGCCAGTGTGCGGACCACAACCAGGAGGTGCTGCAGGCCATCGTCCACCACAGCCTCCACATGTTTGAGAACATGGAATACGGAGAGAGGGTATGACTTAAATCTGCTGTATGAACTGTAATCACAGATCCAGAGCTGGCTATTTCTAGTGTTTTGTCTTTTTCCTGTGATTAGTAAGGCAAAAGTGAGGACAACTATGAAAGAGATGAAGAATAGAAAGGCAGTTTGAGCTGGATGACTTACCTTGGGTGGTATAGAGATGTCTGCAGGAGAGGGCAGTGCACTTTTTAACTCAATCTTTTGAGTGAGAGGATGCCTGAGGAATGAAGAAGTCTACTGCTTCTGATTTTCAAGAACAAGCTATGCAGAGCTGTAGCAACTACAGAGAGATAAAGCCGATGAGCCAGGATATTGGAAAGAGTTGTTGAAGCTAGGTGTGAAGAGATGTGATGATCTGTGAGCAGCAGTATGTCTTCATGGTGAGAAAGTGCACTATGGGTACGATGTTTACTTTGAGAGTGATTATGGAGAAGGTCAGAAGGAGTTGCACTGTGTCTTTGTGGATCTGGAGAAAGCATATGATAGGGTGCCAAGATGGGAGCTGTGACGAGTAGCAGACAGGTATATGAGCCTGGTGCAGGACATGTATGAGGACAGCAAGACAGTGGTGAGGTTGAGGTAAGAGTTAATGATGGGTTGGAGTTAGGTGTGCCTTTTCTTGTTTGCAGTGATGATGAATAGATGAGGTCAACCAGAAGTTTCCATGAGTTATGATTTATTGCAGACTTCACTGTGATCTGTAGTGAGAGTAGAGAGCAGGAGGAGGAGGAGAGCCTGGAGAGGTGGAGGTATGCTCTGGAGAAAAGAGGAATGAAAGTCAGTAGAAAAGCAAGGCCAACTACATGTGTGTATGAGAGGGAGTTACCTGGAAAGGTGAATCTGAAAGGAGTGGAGGTAGTGAAGGTGGATGCGTTTAAATACCTGGGGTCAACCATCCAAAGCACTGAAAAGTGCAAAAGATACATGGAGAAGAGAGTGCAGGCGGGGTGGAGTGGGTGGAGATGAGGGTCAGGGGTGATTTGTGAACAGTGTCACCCAGTCCTCACCCAGTGTGGTCTGTAGAACAGCAGCTTGAGTGAAAAGGAAGGCTTACAAGATGGTAGTGAGTCCTGCTGTTATGTATGGTTTGAGCACGGTGGCACTGACAAAAAGACAGGAGGCCAAGCTGGAGATGTTAAGATTTTCATTGAGTGTGACCAGAATGGATAGGATTCATGGATGTAGTGAAGGAGACCATGCAGATGGTTGGTGTGACAGAGGAGGATGTTTGGAATGGGATGAGATGGAGGCACATGATCTTCTGTAGTGACCCCTAAAGGGAGCAGATGAAAAAAGACTGTGACTTAATTATGTCTCCATTCTTTTAGCAGGAGGATCCAAGGAAGATTCGTCCATCCTCTACATTTGACATGGACAAACTTAAGTCCACCATAAAACAGTTTGTGAGAGACTGGAGTGAGTCAGGCCAGGCTGAGAGGGACTCCTGCTATAAGCCCATCATCCAAGAGATCCAAAGACTTTTCCCAAGTGATCAATAGTAAGGAGCTTACATGGTAAATTGGACACACACATGCATGCCAATAAAGAGAAAGTCAGTGTTGCTGAATATGTGCATTCAGCTTTTTGCATGCTATAGTTTCAACATCTTGGTGTGATTATGTGACTTACACAGTTTTTTTCTATGTGATATGTGCATTTTGTGCATTTTATTATATCAGTGATGTGTCTAAGGTGAGCGTGCTGGTTCCGGGTGCTGGGCTTGGCCGTCTAGCCTGGGAGATAGCTCGGCTGGGTTACATGTGCCAGGGAAACGAATGGAGCTTCTTCATGCTCTTCTCCTCAAACTTTGTTCTCAATAGGTAAAACTTACACAGAAATGCACAGGCTGAACAGACACCTTAACTAATATTTTCTTTTGCGTCTGTAATCGCTACTCTTACTCTCCTTGTCAATCTTCACTGCTCTATTCAGGTGTGAAAAGGTGAATGCTCTGACACTCTACCCCTGGATCCACCAGTTTAGCAACAACAAGCGATCCTCTGACCAAACACGACCAATCAGATTCCCTGATGTCAACCCTCAGAGCTTGTCACTAAATGCAGACTTCTCCATGGTAGCAGGGGACTTTGTGGAGGTCTACAATGAGCCAGGTAAATAAAATGTATCTTTAACCTATGAAATATTTCTAAAAAGGGGACCAAACTTTACTCATGTAGGTCGAAAGTATACATTTTTACATCTACAAAAAGCACAATATAATTGACTCAAACTTTTCAATGTAGATGTACTGTAAAATATGCTCACTGGTCACTTCATTAGGTACATTTTGCTTCTGCTGGTTTGGATTCCCTTTGCCTTCATAACTGCTTTAGTTCTTGATGGCACAGATTTAACAAGGTGCTGGAAACGATGAATACATCTCACTCATGTCCACCTTAGTAATATTAGTAATAAAAAAAAAATGCATAAAAGTATTAATAAAGATTATTATATTTTGTGTTTCTGGCAGAGTCCTGGGACTGTGTGGCTACCTGCTTCTTCATCGACACGGCTCATAATGTGTTGGAGTATGTGGAAACTATCTGGAAGATTCTTAAGCCTGGAGTATATAACTGTGTGGTTCAAACTACAGGGAGTGCAGAATTATTAGGCAAGTTGTATTTTTGAGGAATAATTTTATTATTGAACAACAACCATGTTCTCAATGAACCCAAAAAACTCATAATATCAAAGCTGAATGTTTTTGGAAGTAGTTTTTAGTTTGTTTTTAGTTTTAGCTATTTTAGGGGGATATCTGTGTGTGCAGGTGACTATTACTGTGCATAATTATTAGGCAACTTAACAAAAAACAAATATATACCCATTTCAAATTACCGTAATTGTCGGGCTATAAGCCGCTACTTTTTGCACAAGCTTTGAACCCTGCGGCTTTTAGTCAGGTGCGGCTTTTCTATGGATTGTCCTGATTTTTGTCATATCGTAAGACGATTTGTTTTGTTTGTTCCGCTGTTGTACGGCACTACGTTGCCTGGCGGAAGGGCATGTGATCAGACACACAGTATCGGGGTTCAAGAGTGGTATGTTGGTCACGTGTCCATCCGCCAGGCAACATAGTGCTGTACAAGTAGCGCGAAAAACAAACTTCAAATTAACGCTACGCGTTCAGCGGGAGTCGTGGATGACGAGCGGCGATAAACTTGCGAAAAGCAAGTTATGCTCAACTCCACCGGTGGAATCTGACAGCGTGGAAAAGTGTGAAAACATCCATGATCACCAACGGATTTCGAAGGGCTGGACTGCTGCATGATGGAGAGGAGGACACCGCCACGGCCCTTCTGAGGGTGTTCGACTCTGACACTGACAACGAGGATTTCTTTGGTTTTGAAAGTGACAACGAAGGAAAGAAGCTGAGAGTGGATGACGAAGCCATCCTGAGCCTGTTCGTATCCGACACTGGAGAAGAGGACTTTGGTGGTTTTAGTGCGCAGGAAGAAGAGAAAGATGGTGGTGAATGACTGACTTTTCTTCTTGTTAAAGCCGTGTCACTGCACCTGAGCCTAAAAGGTAGTCCGAATCTATTTTTCTGGTGTGCTGTAGGTTATTGTTATGTACTACATTTGTTACTCATTTATGAAGCACAGTACATGTTTCGTACTTGTAATTACCGCTACTTGTACATATACCTAAAAAGTTATGCAAATATGTACCCATAACTTGTTTTTCAAAATATTAATAAAAGGGGTGTGTCTCCAAACAGCCATCTCTTTCCTGACAATTCGCCTTTGTGCATATTCTCTTACATATGATAAGTCAACATTGAAACACCTGCGGCTTTTAGTCAGGTGCGGCTAATGTATGTACAAAACAGGATTTTCCCCTGATTTTAGCTTGTGCGGCTAATATTCAGGTGCGCTTTGTAGTCCGGGAAATACGGTATTTATTTTTACCAGTGAAACCAATATAACATCTCCACATTCACAAATATACATTTCTGACATTCAAAAACAAAACAAAAACAAATCAGCGACCAATATAGCCACCTTTCTTTGCAAGGACACTCAAAAGCCTGCCATCCATGGATTCTGTCAGTGTTTGATCTGTTCACCATCAACATTGCGTGCAGCAGCAACCACAGCCTCCCAGACACTGTTCAGAGAGGTGTACTGTTTTCCCTCCTTGTAAATCTCACATTTGATGATGGACCACAGGTTCTCAATGGGGTTCAGATCAGGTGAACAAGGTGGCCATGTCATTAGTTTTTCTTCTTTTATACCCTTTCTTGCCAGCCACGCTGTGGAGTACTTGGACGCGTGTGATGGAGCATTGTCCTGCATGAAAATCATGTTTTTCTTGAAGGATGCAGACTTCTTCCTGTACCACTGCTTGAAGAAGGTGTCTTCCAGAAACTGGCAGTAGGACTGGGAGTTGAGCTTGACTCCATCCTCAACCCGAAAAGGCCCCACAAGCTCATCTTTGATGATACCAGCCCAAACCAGTACTCCACCTCCACCTTGCTGGCGTCTGAGTCGGACTGGAGCTCTCTGCCCTTTACCAATCCAGCCACGGGCCCATCCATCTGGCCCATCAAGACTCACTCTCATTTCATCAGTCCATAAAACCTTAGAAAAACCAGTCTTGAGATATTTCTTGGCCCAGTCTTGACGTTTCAGCTTGTGTGTCTTGTTCAGTGGTGGTCGTCTTTCAGCCTTTCTTACCTTGGCCATGTCTCTGAGTATTGCACACCTTGTGCTTTTGGGCACTCCAGTGATGTTGCAGCTCTGAAATATGGCCAAACTGGTGGCAAGTGGCATCTTGGCAGCTGCACGCTTGACTTTTCTCAGTTCATGGGCAGTTATTTTGCGCCTTGGTTTTTCCACACGCTTCTTGCGACCCTGTTGACTATTTTGAATGAAACGCTTGATTGTTCGATGATCACGCTTCAGAAGCTTTGCAATTTTGAGACTGCTGCATCCCTCTGCAAGATATCTCACTATTTTTGACTTTTCTGAGCCTGTCAAGTCCTTCTTTTGACCCATTTTGCCAAAGGAAAGGACGTTGCCTAATAATTATGCACACCTGATATAGGGTGTTGATGTCATTAGACCACACCCCTTCTCATTACAGAGATGCACATCACCTAATATGCTTAATTGGTAGTAGGCTTTCGAGCCTATACAGCTTGGAGTAAGACAACATGCATGAAGAGGATGATGTGGACAAAATACTCATTTGCCTAATAATTCTGCACTCCCTGTATTAATAACTACTGCAGGTCCTCATTAAGCTAAGCTAGTTATAGTTGCTGCATCTTATCATCCCCCTATTAAGGCCTTATTAGATCTTCTTTACTCACTCTGTAATATCTTTTTATAGGGCTGGATTTTGTTCACATTAGTAATCATTTATGTTGACTATTTTTTTTTTTTTGGTTTGTTTAGAAAAAATGAGCCATAATAATAAAGAGGTGCTGTTATTTTTTTTTTTTTTTTTTTTTTTTTTTTTTTTTTTTTTTTTTTCAGTTTTAAAACAAAATTGTTTTGATTGAATAGAAAGGAAACACGAGTCTTACTTTCACATGGATGAGATTTTCTCCTCTTAAGTCGGTGAACTTAACAGTGTAAACGTTCTTTAATATTTTCAAGGTCCACTGCTGTATCACTTTGAGAACATGGCCAACGAGCTCTCAGTTGAGCTTAGCTACGAAGACATTAGGACAGCGATGGTCAGATTTGGCTTCCACATCGAGGTAACCTGAAGACCTAAATATTACCGCTTCAGCCATACGCTTGTCCGAAACCTTGCTCGAGAAGTAAAATCAAATTAAACTTCCTCCTGCAGGTGGAGAAGGAGTCAATGCAGACCACCTACACAGAGAACGACCGGTCGATGCTGAGATATGTTTATGACTGTGCCTACTTTGTTGTGCGGAAGCCTGCAGAGCTGCAGTACTTTAATGGTCAAAACGAAGACCAGCTACAAAACTCTCCACCGGCTGCTAAGTCGCCACGCCGAGAGGGTCCCGACAGCCCGACGTGACAAGATGTCCTTTGACAAAACCAAGTGAAAGCATAAGAGCACAATCCTTGGCTGAAATATGACAACAAAGGAAAAGGAACATTTTCCTTTTGGCCAGATATATTTTTAAAAATGTCTGCCCGAATCCACAAGACCTTGAAGTGGCTCAAAATGGGGAATGTAATATGAAGTAAGGTGATGTGATATGAAGTAAAGTGATCTGTACCATCTGAACAAAAGTCAAAATACTGGGTCTGAGATGAATCACTTACCATTGGCTGCTACTTTATGTTTGTGATTTGTGTGTCAGCTGCTGGCCACGAAGACCATCGTTTTGTTTTTAGGCTCCGTGTGTGCATGTGATAGGAGAATGTGATGTGAATGCCTGCTTTTCCTTTTTTTCCCTTTTTTTTCTCTTTTATGTGCCAATAACTACATCTAATATTTTTTTTATATTGTTTGTTTTGGACTGTCATCACACTTTGAAATAAAGCCGCACATTTTAAAAATGTGATTCTCCAGTTTTACTTAAACACATTTTCAAATACATTAACACCAACATAACAGAAAAGACGACAACAGGTCGACGATATCTAGAATCTCTATATACAAGTATCATCTTGTGAATGTTGCCAATAAAAACAAAGGTAGTAGAATTTGAAGAATCATTTTTTTAATGAAAGTTTGACCTTATTTGAGGTCAAACATAGTTTTAAATAGCTCTATATAGCACTATTATAACCTTCAGATCAATCTATTGACCTTAAAGGAGAGGTCAGAGGTCAAATGTGACATTCTATTTATAATCTTTATAAAGTTTCCCAAAAAGTTGATTCTGTTGATCTCGATGTAGTATTTTCAGTGTGAGAAAGGTTTTTGTTATTAATCCAAGTGACTTCTTTAGTTCAGCTGACTGCAGGTTTCCCCAACCTTTAAACAGTACATCTCTATAATGACTGAAATTAGCACCAATGACTAACAATATGGTGCATGCTTTCTATATGTCAACAACACACATGACACTTGTCATGTAAAAGGCTTTTCTGCCAGTTTTCGACCAATAATACATTGAGCTAACAGGCAAAAAAATTAACCAAAAGCAGTTTTAAAAAGGTGAGTTTTGAGTTGTTTTTTTTAAAAAACAGCTACTGAGTCCGCAGTTCTTAATGTTTGGGGGAGAGAGTTCCACAGTCTAGGGGCCACAGCTCTATCACCCTTAGTCCTCCTCTTAGTATTTTTTAAAGCAAGTAAGCCCTGATCAGATGACCTCAAAGACCTGCTAGGGACATAGGGCTGTAGCAGATGTACACAAACCAATGAGTATCAGGCAGTGTTGTAAATTGCAGGAAGTAGATGAGAGTTAAGTGATTGGAGACTGGGTGCTCTGGGCGGGGCTAGAAAGCAGTGCTCTATTCTGATTGGTTCTTTGCAATAATTCTACTACCGGTGCTCATCATTTCGAGATCGTGCATCACTAAACACGCTCCTGCGCACTTTCGGTGTTATCCAGCAATCACAGGGATTTCAGGTTTTCTGTGCACATCGGTGGCGTACCGGCAGACTGCATGGCAAAGAGGCGCGCCGAGGACACTCTGCTGCACAACTCTCCCTCCAAGAGGTGTTTCCGCTCCCTTTGCGCTGTTGACATACAGGCGGAGAGCATGGCTCCGTCCGGGGGCGTGAGCCCGCCGTCCCTCCTGGCTTTGCTGGGGACCCGCTGCAGAAAGAGGCCGCAATATTTCGATGAAGAAGAGACCGCTTCTTATCGCAAGACTTCACACTACGATGCCAGGAAGCGTGCAGTAAATGTTTCGGCGGTGCAGACGTCTGGAAGTTTCCAAGACCGTCGCAGCTCTTCAGTCACGAGTTCCCAGAAACGACCACGAGAGGGCAGCGAGGAGCCAGATACCGCTGTTCCCAAATCTAATGATAAAGTAAGTTATTGAGAATATAACAGAAGTCGGGGATGTTCACTGCAGTTTTAGCGACCATGCAATACAACTGAATTTGGTGTGATTACAGTGAGTGTCCACTAGATGTCACCATTTACACATTCTAGACTTGTTTTTTCTGTACTCTGTAGTACACTGTACTTCACTGTACCAGTGAAAAGGGGACTGATTGGTCAGCAGGTAACAAAATGTTGCCACGTAGTTGCGTTTGGACGTTACATTTCTATCTGTCTGTTCCCTTTCAGGCTGATGAGGACGCAAACACTGAAGACTGCACTTACAACTCCTTCCAGTATTGGAGGGTGCCTTTACCTGAGCTTGACCTTTCACTGCTAGAAGATGCAAGCGACCACTCAAAAACAAAAGACAAGTCAAAAGCATCTTCTTCTGACGCCATGGAGACTTGAAGATGATTGGTACAGCGAGGCCTATTGAAAGCTGCCTCTTCCCGTTTAAAGCATGGGAACATGATGAGGACAATGTGATGTTCTTCAGCAAATAGAGGCATCAAGAACAGGTTACCGTACTTGAAATGCATCAAGGTGAGATGCGATAACCGAAACCTGCCACGGCTGCCCCTGTAGAGCAATACAGGCTTTATTTATTTTATTTTTTCCCCCTTAAGTGGAAAACAGTCTAATGCAAGATTTCACAGACCTAAGTGGAACTTTTTTCAAACCTTTTATAGATCCAGCAGATTTGTGTGACCAGCATTTAGACAGCCTGATAACAGCAGTGACTGATCTCCCATGTTCAATGCTGAGTCCTTACTTTGCAAACCTACAGTTGAGTAGGATTATATAAATATGTGTCTAACTAATTAGAGATCTAATTAAAGATGTATGCTTGGTCTGCAGATAATAGTTGCCTTTCAGAACAAATTTGGTCCAGTTGTGTAGGGTTGCACTTTTTAAATTGTGTGACTGAATTGTTGGTTGTACATTTTGTACACATCTGATTGCCAGTTAGAGCTGGTTGTTACATGCCTTTGTATTCATTGACAATAAAAATATATATTTGTGACTTTTCTTTTAATTGTTTGGTTTTATTTATGGTTTTATCAACGATAATGCTGACCACCCTCTACACCACATACTGGACAGGAAGCGGAGATCCATCTGTAACACATTCATACCACATGTATTCACATTTTATTAGGTCTGAAGTATTGTGGCCAAAATGATAATCATGATTATTTGTCACGATTATTCAAAGAGTGACAAAAAAATTTTTATTGCACTGTAACAAAAAAAAAAATGCTTTCACATCTGTTAAGGTTTTTGTGTTAACATTCAGCTGATCCTCAGCTCTTTTTGCAAACCATTTCTGTTTGGTAAACATCAGTTGTGCAGGGAACAGCTGTGGTTGGCGTATCCAGGCAGGTGGTCAGATGCTGCATTATAAAGCACTTTGGTTTTAAATTTAAAACAGTGGACCGGGCATCGGATAATTGTGCAGCCATAGGCTGATGTATTCACAATTACAAGAACTGAGCTGAAAATCAGCTGCAATGGCTCTGATGCAGTGATGAATCTTCAGTTGACTGCTCCCTCAAGAGGCCACCACAGTGAAACATCTGCTTCTATCTGACCCCATCAAGACCATCCTCTTCTGTCGCACCAACCCTGCACGTGCTCCTTCACTATGTCCATGGATCTTTTTCATGGTCTTCTTATGTCTTGCTGCTCCTTTTTCTACATCCTTTGTCCAATGGAGTGAAAAATCAAAGTTGGAAATTTTCCGTAGAAATTGCCATGAGAATGCAAAGAGGAGGGCAGGAGAGAGGTGTAAAACATGACCGAGGCTGTGTCATGTTTTGAGCTGCAGTTTAGCCAATGGTGTTGTGGAGGTTGTCAAAACTAATGCAAGTATGAAAGCACAACAGATTTTGATTCACCACATATCACCATTTGGAAAGCATCTGATTGGCAGTGGGTTTATTCTTGCATGATGATAATCTCAAACACATGTCAGTACGGTATAAATATACCTGAAAAGAAACCCACACTGGAACACTATCTTTCGTGGATTGTCCTCCTTAGACCCCAGACCTCAACAATACTGAAGCAGTGTGGGATACTGGTGATAGAGAACAGATCAAAAGGCAGAAACACCTAAAGACCAACTTTGAATGTGCTTCAAGAACCCTGAAGAACTCTTTCTGAAGACTACTTGAAGAAATTACAAGAAAGTTTGCCTAAGAGAGTTTGACTTTGTGTGTTTGGACGTTTCAATAAAACTGAACCTGCACCTATTTCTAAATTTCCTAGCTAAATATAAATATTAGAGGGGTAGCTCAAGATTTATCTATCTGACAGACATCTGCCATATATTATTATTGTTATTATTAATATTAATATTATTATTGCAATGGAAAACTTGCTCTTCTGTCCTGCCCAAGTGTACAACCCTGTTTATTTTACTGCCACTGCAGGTGTTTTGAGCCTCACTGCGCTGTGTGAAACTTTGCTTGAGCCAGAGCTGACGACACTTTAGTAATATTTTTGACTCACCAGTGTCCACTTTCACCAGTCACCACAATCCTTCATGAGAAAGAGGGGGAGACACCCTTATTGCCTCAACCAATAAGGGTGTCTCCACTCCTTAAGTTTTCACCTCCTTGACAACTTAAGGAGGTGAAAAACTCCTAACCGAGCTGGAGGGAGGAGGCCATGAACTCCCCAAGGCTTCCTGGAAACCTGCCCTTTGGACCAGCGACTGATTAAAGGGCGCTCAGTCCTTGTCGGGAGAGTAATGATGAAGCGGAGTGTCTTTGCTAGCCTCGAACATGTTTATAAATGAAGTTTGCAGTCATGGTAAGATATATGCTAATATTATATATAAATATATATATATGTACTAAGTAGGTCAGCTTATTTCCAACAAGTGTACTTTTTACGAAATGTGAACTTGAACTCATGAGAAATTTGAACAATATTTCTCTGTTACCGGTTTGCTAACAGTGATATTAGCAGCGCTTAGCGGTGATTTTAAGTTAGATAAAACGGGTAATAGTAATAAACTTTTAATGAACTAGTGTAGTAACATAACACGGGTGTTCATTGTGCATACAACGTGTTAAACTGTTGGTCCTGCTGCTGCACAATGGGCGGTTTTATTTAGTGCATATAAAACTGTAACAGTTGTAACTGTTTACTTCGCTAACCGTGTAGACTAATCAGAGGAAGAGGATGTGTAGGTCTGTGTATGTGCTCATGTTTCCTGAAAGCAGTTCTCTCCCTGCAGTGAGGCCATTGTTAAATATTCCTGGGAAACATGAAGGAAAGATTAGTGTGAAGGGGATGGGCTGAGTACTGCAGCTCAGGGTTTTGGTGTTTGCATTTCAGCTTTCTGTGATGGGGAGGGATCTACACTTACTACACTGTTTGCTCAGCATGTGATCGACACTAAAATGAGCTTCACTGAGAAGGTCACTGATAAACGCGCTTTTTATTTCAGGACTAATGTGCTTCCACTTCCTAGAATACGAGTCAATAAAGAAGACAATATAGTGCTTAACAGCTCCAGTATCTGTGTGCTGTAAGTAAATATTTTCTGCTTTTCTTTTTTTAGTCCAGAAAGTGTTGGATTGAGGAAACCTTCTTCAGGAGAGAGTGTGTGAAGTTCATCCCTTCCTCTTGGGATCAGCACAGGTAAACTGGGATCTGATTGCACTGATTAGCTTTTATGATTCTGAGAAGAAACACACAGATTGTAGTATAACATTAACAGCAGCTATTTGAAATAACATTTTTCTGAGAGCAGAACTATTTGGCATGTAGCCCTTACTTCCAGGAATAGCAGCCATGTGGATATTTTGATAACGCTTCCTGTCTCTTTCAGATGTATTCCAGTATGCCACGTTTGCCAAAATTTGATAAGGTATCACTGATGAATATTGTGCTGAAGATGCTGTCCTACCAAACTCTTTCTTATTTTCTTACTACATACTTCTGTATTGTTTTCTCCCTCATTCTTTCAGCATTTCATCATGTCCTTTTCTGCCTTTTTTCTCCTACATTTGCACTGCACCGTTATGGGGAAATGGCAGGAAATGTGTGATTTTCATGGTCTGTTAAATGATAACAACAGCCAGACATAGAAATGTGTACTCAAGGGCAAAGGGAGGTGGAGAGGAAGTGTGGGATTTAGAAAATAAATGGAAGAATCACTGAAGGCTGGTTTAAAAAGTCCAGGTGGATTTCTTTCATCTTTTAGGGCTTGTCATGCGCCCTACATATTATTATTGCTTATTAACAACCCTGCCTCTATTTTGAGGAGCTAACATGTAGTTAAGTGTCACTGATAATTTTGTTACTGTTTTTTGGGCTCTTCCCTATTATCTAAAAGCAGACTATCAGAAATAGCTACTTAATTTAATTTATTTAAAATCAACAACATTATGCTAAAGTGTTGTAAAAGTATGATTGAAGTTAATCATTCTAAAAAATTACCTTACGATGCTTCTTCCTATGCATCTATGCAATGTCGTTCTATTTGCTAGATGTTGCTGCGGCCACCTGATAGGGGAACACTCTTGGCAAGACTCCCTTCCTCCATTGTCCCTCTGTCCTGGTCCTGGACAGGATGTGGAAGAGGAGTGGTCCATGGAGCGCCACACCAGGGCCAGTCCCACAAATGCCTATGGCACCGTAGACTTTGAAGATACTGCCACACGTGTCTGTCGAGCCAAGGTCTGTGAGTTTACCAGCTCTGTGCGTGTCTCTAGGCCAAAGGAACATTTTTTCAAAAGTAAAATGGTAAATGTACACACGCTCAAAAGACTGCTTCAAATATAGAAGCAAATGCTTGCACTCTGTTAATAAGACCTAGATTTTGATGGTTGCGTAAAGTTTTCTTTGCTATGATGTAAGCAGGCTTGGTCGCGATGCATGAAAGCAGAGATGCTATCTAATGTAGTGACAAAACAATCGGCTCAGCAGCACCTCAGAAAAGTACAAAGAGCTTCTCAGTTGGAAACACTTTCATGTTTTTCCAGTATGTTCGTGTTGCTGTCGACTCCAAGCCAGAAGCATTACTCCAGCTGATGTTGAGGGAATGGCAGATGGAAAGACCCAAGCTACTGCTGAGTGTCCACGGAGGCTCCGAAAATTTTACCTTGCCACCTAAAGTCAACCAGGCCTTTAGCAAAGGGCTGATCACTGCTGCCCTCAGCACAGGGGCATGGATTTTCACCGATGGCATTAATACAGGTAAGTTTTACAATTTTTTGTGGAGTATTATTTTCTGCCTATCTCCAGTTAGTGACTGGCAGCAATCTCATTACTTACATCTGAAAAAAAAACTACGTTGATCTGTGTTCTGTTTCTAGAAGGTTCAGTTTTGGTTAGTTTCTGTTAGGTTTCATTTCTGTATGGCATGCTGTTGTAAAAGTACCCCTTGGATTTTAGTGCTTTTGTTCTTATTGTGTATTTGCTGTGCATTCAGCTACTATTCGCATGCCCTCCAGGTGTGTCTAAATATGTAGGTGATGCAGTTAAATCCTTTGGAAGCCATGACCTGAGGAAGAGAAACACAGTTGGCATCACACCCTGGGGAGTGATTGACAACAACATGGACCTTATAGGCAGAGATGTCAGTATTGAAACTGTGTTTTTGCACGTTACTTCATTCCTCACCACATTTTTTTGATATATGCAGAGTACCATATCCCACTGCGCTGCTTTTCTTTGTCTTTGACTGACACTGATTCAACATCGCTTCAGGTTTTCAGGCCTTACCAGCCTCTGGGAAACCCTTTGAGCAAGAGAGCCTGTCTCAATGGTTTCCACTCCCACTTCCTGTTGGTGGATGATGGAACGCTGGGCAAGCATGGCTGTCAGCAAGGCCTCAGGAGGAAGCTGGAGAAGCACATACAACTACAGAAGATACATCCCCGTGGGTGGTTTTGCGCAAAAACTAACAAAAGAAACAAAATAGGAAGCACACAGATTTGACTGAAGTCTTAACATCATCTCTTCTCTTTTTTGCAGGACTGAACCAAGGAGTGCCTGTGGTGTGTGTGGTGGTGGAGGGAGGTCCTTCTGTGGTGTCTACAGTGTTGGACTACGTCAGCACTGTGCCCCCTGTGCCAGTGTTTGTGTTTGAGGGATCAGGCAGGGCTGCTGACCTACTCGCCTTCTTACACAAGCAGACTGCTGTTGACAGGTACAGTACGTAGGCTGGTATAGGCCTGTAGTGGATGCATAGCAGGGTCTTTTTGAGCCAGCTGGTTTAATAAGCAAGCATAATTTATACTTACGGCAAAGTGCAAGTTATAACACCTTCTTCATGAGTATTGGGGCATATTTTAAGGTGAAAAAGAGAAAAATGGGCAAAGGGAGAATCTCCCCTTTACCGTTATATCATTAGAGTGAATAACTGTAAACAGATTTAGCACTTTTTTACTCAATTTGAGCACTCCAAAGTACTTTCCTTACAACAAGCCTCATTCACACTCCAGTAGATGGATCGCAGAGTTCAGTATCTTGCTCAAGGATACTTCAGTGTGAAGGCTAGGGGAGTCAGGGATTGAACCACTGACCTTCCAATTAGCAGATACCTCACACCACTGCCGAGCCGCATATGCCAACTACTTGAAAAGGCAGTTAGACCCAGCCACATTCTTTGTTTTTTCCTCATCTCAGATGAACCCAAACACACAGTTACTAATATGATCCTGTCCTGCTAACTACATTTGAGTGACGTTTATATTTTAGGAAGGGTTACCCAATAGGTGTATATAAAAACTTGAAGATGATGATGCAATTAATTGATTGTAAAATGAGATAGAAAGTAGAAACTAGACAGCAGTGTCCTCTTAGTGCAAAAAAGCAAAAGGCTGCTCTGGTAAGCTCATAAATTAGCTTGTTAGACTCTTATTTTGACTCATTTAACATTTACCAAAAAGACACAGGATTACAAATATTAAATTGTTTCAAATGTACATTATCCTTCCATACATGTACTTATCCTTTCGCCAATTCAGTCTCATGGGGAGCGGAAGCCTAGCTATCATAGGGCGAGAGGTGGGGTACACCCTGGACAGGTCGCCAGTCTGATGCAGGACTAACATAGAGGAACAGGCAACCATTTGCCCTCATATTCACACCTGTGCGAAATTTAGAATCACCAATTGACACAACTCCACTAATTGCATGTCTTTAGCCTATGGGAGGAAGCCGGAGAACCTGCGCAACCATGGTGAGAACATGACTCCACCTTCTGCGACCTTCTCAGGACCTTCTTGTTGTGAAGCAAAA